GTAAACGAATTGTATACCTAAAATGTACCAATAAAAGAGCTAAAAAAAAAAAAAAAGAATACTTAGCGAGTTTCAGGCATAGAAGACTTATTGTTAACTCTAGTCACCCTGCTCTGCATTAGATCTCCAGAACGTACTCATCTTAGAGCTGAAGGTTTGTACTCACTGACCAACGTCTCCCTATTTCCTTCAACTCCTGACCTCTGATAACCACCATTCTAATCTCTGTTTCCACAAATTCAACCTTTTAAGATTCCACATGTGAAATCATGTACTATTTATCTTTTTTGTGTCTGGCTTACTTCACTTAGCATAACATCCTCTAGGTTTATCCGTGTGGCAGGATTTCATCCTGTTAAAAGGCTAAATAATATTCCATTGGGCATGTGCATATATCCATTTTTCATGTGTTCTTTATACATCCACCAACAGACATTTAGGTCGTTTCCATATCTTGGTTGTTGTAAATAATGCACGAGTGCGGTTTATTTGGATTAGTCAGAAAAGAAGAGATGGGCAGCATCTCCTTCATTCCCTGCAGCCATTCGGCCCAGCATGCCACAGATCACCATGCACTAAGACTGGGGCACCTCATGCCCTCCCTTGTCAGTCTCACCAGCAACACAGGGAAAGAACGGCTCAGAGCCTCAGACTGGCTAGCCTGGTCAGGAGGAATGAAAGCTGGAAGGAAAGATGGCAGCATCCATGCATTCCTGGTATTCGGTGACAGTCTTGTCTTTGAGTAGTTCTAACATTTTGGTAAAGGTGATTCGTACAATAAAAAATGGACCACAGTTTAATGTTTCTTACTTTGTAGAAATGCTTATCTGTACACATGTATATTTCTGAAACTAGAACAAAGTTACTGGCTAGTCCTTGGTGTTTTGAGGTATTATTTCACAAGTACTAAGTAAGTAACAGAAAGAAAATTCTCACACCCTAGATCAGCGATAGGGTTGATAGTTGTGTGAAGTGTAAAACCACGTCAAGGGTATAATAGATATGCGCTGAGTGAATAGATGAATGAATGAAACCAAAGCAATGTGGGATCTACAATAAGATCCATAAAGATGCACCACAGCCTCTGTCCCCTGAGGCCCTTTGAGAGTGGACTAGGGGTAAACATAGGGCCACATTCTTAGCTCTCTGGTTCTTGCTATTGCAATATTTTCTTCTCAAAATTGTCTCCAGTTTGTCTGGGAGACACTCTGGGCTTTCTCTCCCACGTCCCTTCATCCTTTTAAGATGCTTAAAATGACACTTTCCTCTTTCTTTCTCCTCCTTCCTGTCTCCTTGACTGGTGTGTACCATCAGGCCCCTCTGTGAACATGCTCTTCCTGCCCAGGCCACTGGCCTGTCCCCTAATGCTCCAAGCTTGCCATACCCCTTCCCCGATGCTGGGGCTGCCTCCTGCACTGTCAGAAAAGTGGGTTCCAGGTGTCCCCATGGGCACTTTCCTGGAGCCACTGGCCATTGAGTGTTCTTACTCCCAGTGACTGCTCTGAGGTCATGGCCTGAGGTTTGCTGGCTGCAGAGCCCAGACTGGGCCATGTTCCTGAGCCCTCGGTGAATAGGTGTTAGTTTTCTGCAAGGTGGGAGGAACCCCTGTTTCCTTTTCACATTATATTTTCTTATCTATTAAGTGGGTCCTGAATAGTGCTGTCTGAACTTCTTAAATCCCACAGCTGTAGTAAAGCCAGATCTCATTTTCATTTGCATCTCCCCTCCCCTGCATCAAGTGCAAGGTGATGAGAGCTATAGACACCTTCAAGTTAGAATCTACCCAGAAAACATCATGTCTCCTTTGCAGAAAAGATGCCTTTATTTGGAAGCTCAAAACAAGATCCCTGAGGAGTCCTTACTTGGCCTCTGTGTTCTTATCCAGGACCTCATGAGTGCAAGGAACTACAGTGGTTGGAGAAGGGGAGGTGTTCAGAATCTCCCAGCATATGAAATGAAAGGTTTTTTTGCAGGGACTTAACTGGGTAGGAGAGGTAGAAAGCAGCATTGTCTATTGGAAGAGAGATGAACCAGGTTCAAATTCCTGCCTATCAAAACCTATGAGCTGTGTGTTCTTGGGCAAGTTATTGGTCCCATGGTCATAAAATCTAATTCATAAGGTTGGTGTGAAGATTAAAATAACGTCCATAAAGCACCTAGCTCTTGAGTGATTCTTTCAATAAATGACTATATTATTGTCAGATTACTTGTTTGTCATCCGA